GGTCATCAACTTTCAGGATCTCTATCATGATGCAATTTGAGAAACTAGTCATCCTTCATATGTGAGGGAGGTTCATAATCTTGATCAGTGAGACTTCTCAGGCACAGGTGATGCTCCAGAGAAGGGGAGATGCTGGGGGCTTAGAAGAATTTCCTTTCAATGTCAAGTACATAACTAGAAAAACTGTGAGAACTTTACTACTGAACTCCTTTGGCTCTTTAACTATCCTGACCAAAAAATACCATAATTATCTACATATTTCTATTCTACTATTCTTTTAGCAATTATTTATTTTGAATATAAACTCTATGGGATTAAGTGAACAGTCTTAAGCAAACTCCATTATCCTTTTGTGTGTGTGATGGGGTGAGGTTGGGGCATATTCAGCATTCTCAGGCTTATTCTTGGTTCTGTGCTCAGGGATCACTCGTGGCGGTACTTGGAGCACCATATGTGGAGCCTGGGATTAAACTGACAGCAACCAACTGTTGCCCCAGAAGGGCCCTTATTCAGTTACTTCTTTTTGGGTCATGACAGAGTTTGTTCCATGACTGTGCTCTTAACATTATTCTTAGCTTGACCCTTTTCGATGCCAGGGTAGCTTACAGCTTGCCCTGGATCCATCCAAGTCCCTCGCTGGGACCCTCCTTTGGGGGTGTTAGGAAGTAAGGGCAACTGAGGCTTAAGCCCAGTAAATATGATGGATGCCCAAGAGTAAATATTACTTGGAATCAGTTAACTCCCATATTACAAAAGCATAGCACCAACTATCTTAGCCCTCAGTCTATACATTGCTAAACCATGCAAAGGACATAAAGGAAAGAGAAAAGCAATATAGAATTAGGAGTGCTTGATGGAATTGGTGTACCTTGGGAGCACTGTGGTGGGAGTCCTGAGGGAGGAGCAAGGGCAAACCAATGTTATGCAATATTCCCCCAACCCCCATCACTATTCGAAGTTTCACAAACCCACATCAGTGCATCACTGTGCATCAGTATGGAATGGATTAGGTCAAAGTTTGTAACCTGGTAAATCACCTCTGTGGGACTCATAAATTCTTGGGCTCCTAAGCTAGAGTCCAGATGCTAAAGACATTCTGTGTCAAGATGAGTCATTTCTCTGGACATCTGCTGTGCTGCCTGATACCAGTTGCGGTTTGGTTAGTCTGGTTGCTGTCCTGGATTTACCTGTCACCTAGGTAGAGTCGAATCATATGGAGAACACAGAACAACAATGGAAAATGTTTAAAGGAAGGAAGGCACAAAGGTAAAAGACTAGGCAGAGACAGACTGAAGAGGGAGAAAGAAGCAGAAACGGGGCTGGAGATAGATTATTTCTGATATTTTGATTGCCAGCCAAAGGGAGGTGACATTTGTGTCCCTGAGCTAACAATTTCTGCCAAATTCCAGCCTCAAAAAGCCCAGCAGTGCCACAGATAGACAATATAATCAGTAAATAAAACCAATTACCTATTTTTAAAATTACACTAATTGTTGAATGACACACATGTTACTTTCAGATATAAAGTCATTTTTATTTCACTTATCAGGGTTTCAGAATATTTGGTTCTTTTCCAAATTTCTTCTTGCTTTTCTGGAAAATGGAAAACAATGCAAACATTGAACACCATACTCTGAGCTAGCAGTACACCTGACACCCTATATTTTTGTATGATGTAAAATCCATGAGATAATTAGTATCATCCTGATTTTAAGATGAGGGAAGTGCATTCAACCAGACTGAGTGACTTTCACAAAGATTTTTCCTGGCAGAAGCGCTGGCATTCATGCAGAGAACTTGTCTGGGACATGATCTCCAGCTCAGGGTCTTACTTATCTTTGAGTTCAACTGACATTCACTTGACACATGTTTAGTGCCTGCTGTGTACCAGGCACTGCTCCATGTGATGGTTACAACAGTGAACAAAACAGATAAAAATTCTTGTTCTCCATTTGTATGACTGTAATGCAATCATGAACAATTTTATAATGCTCTATCTCATGGTGATTCAATAAAATAAATTTAAAAATTCCCATAGAATGTACTTTCTCCTATATTGGCAAGTCCCTGACTTTATGTTATTGGCATTTTAAAGCATTGAGGGATATATGCCTATCCTAACTTTCTACTCAGATGCATAATTCTGAGCAACAGCCTAGTTATAGTTTTCTTGGGAACCCTTAGTGTAGGATGACATTGCTTTGTCCTTTCTCCCTTGCCACAAGGAGCTTAAGTTTGTCAGATTGCACCCATCACAGTGCTCTGGAGTCACTCCCATTCCTCCATTTATCTGTAACCACTTCTCTATGCTCTCTTCCCCAATCAGATAATCAGCTTTTCCCCCTAATCAGAATCTGTTCATTTGTAAGGCCAGATCCTTCTAGAACACTGAAACTGTATTGTAAGTTAATATTGCCTTTCTCCTCTCCTTATGTCTTTTGATCTCCTCTCCTTATGTCTTTTGAATAGTTTACTTTAATGCAATGTCCTTTTTGTATAGATACAGGAAGACAGTTAATATTATGCTTTGTAACTTGGGATTTAATTGGCTTTGAATATTATTCACTCCCGGGCAACTGCTTTCTCGACTTAAGCCTCAGTTGCCCTTAGTTCCTTACACCCCAAAAGCAGGGTCCCGATGAGGGACTGAATGGACCCAGGGCAAGCTGTGAGCTACCCTGGCATCAAAATGGGTCAGGCCAAAATGCCACAATTTTTAACTGTAAGTTAAGAGTTTGATCACAGATAAATGCTGTCATGATCCAAAAGTAATGATGAGACTAGGACCCTGCTAAGGATAGGAAATAGGGATAGGATACACACCTTAGCATAAGTTGGGTGGGGGGGGGGGGGTGTTTGTACTTTATGTTAATGTATGTGTTATGACAAGAGCAGCTAGAATTGTGCATAGTGGCTCAGGTTTTATTTCCATAATGATACACATGGGTGACAGTCAATTGTGCATTTCTGGTGGAGTTCCTCTGTCTTCGGTTCTGCTTTTTGGGGCCTTGAATGACACCAGTCAAGACCAGGTCATACACTTGGCATAGATGCTCCTTAAATGCAGAATCTGAGAGATAATACAGGACGTAAGGTGCTTGCCTTGCATGAAGCTGACCTGGCTCAATACCCACCATGCTATATGTTTTACCAGGAATAATTCCTGAGTACAGAGTCAGGAGTAACCGCTGAGAATCACCGGATGTGGCCCCACAAAAAAAACAACAAGAATAAAAAAGTGGGAATTCAAACATTGTTTTTCATCCTGTATTCTCCATAGCCTTCTAGTTCCTCAAATTCCTAATATTTCTCTCAGAAATAGGGTAGGATTTCTATGAAAATCAGTTTTTCACCTTAAAATATTTGAAAAGATAGGGAGTGAAACTGAAACAAATAATTGTTCAAACTCACAGATTTAATGAGGCAGATTAAAATATCTTGGAATCCGTAAAATTATGGATTTTTTGGCACTAAAGCACTACTTGGAGAATGCGTCTCAAAGATTGAAATCTTGGAGCAGTCTGCCACCTTCAGGTTAAATTCCCAACTAACTCTGGATATGGTGGTTTTAGCCTCTATGTATTCCAAGTATCAATCCCACTAAATAATGTGTCAAGCTATTCATTGATTTCTTTTGTACTTTTGCTAAGATCATGTATTATACTTAGTGATTACATTTTTGTCCCTTTTTTCTTTGATTCTTAAAAAAATATATGATTTCATAATTTTGTGATCTGCACTGATTCCTTTTTTGCTTTTATACCTATTATAAACAACCACCAACTTCATTTTGCTAGCAGAATTTAGAACACTACAGACAGATCTTGGAGTCCATCCCTAAAAAAATATTTTCAGTCGGGAAACTTCTACTTACTGGTGGTTTCGGATTGATGACACTATTTTGAAAGAATATTAAAAACCGCTTTACAATGAGTAGTCAATACAGAAAAGGGCAGAGCATAAAGGTCTGAGGTGGGAGCGTGGGAGAGAGTACGTGACACTGATTTTTTTTTTCTCTCATGTCTTAATAACTTATTGGCTATTTCATAAAATAACACAGAGGTCTCCCTCTGTGTAATGAGGAAATCAAGAGAAGCTAGGCTAGGAAATGACGGGATCTGGCACTTAATAGTATGGGAAAATCGCAGAAATCAGTAGGAAAAATTAAAGGGAAACATAACAGAAATTTAACAAGTTATATCAAAATTATAAGAGCTGGATGTACAACAGCCTGGGGTTAAAAAAGAGAACACAGTGGCGCAGAAATGTATCAGGCAAGGGGAAAGCAAAATAAAGGGCACTGAAAATGAAAAAGTGGCTCAAAACTGAGTTTGTCAAAGGGGCGAGGAAAGGGGCGTGTAAACTGGGGAAAAGGAAACACTGGCACAGGTTCCTGACACTGATGGTGGGTATGCTGGTGGTGCAACTTCATACACCTAAAACTATACTAACAGTATTGAAAATCACGGGTGTCTAAATACAATTCTAATTAATTAACGTGGTAAGGAACGAACATGCACGGAGAATGATTGACTGCATCTGCATTCTTTCACCAAACCACGGAAAGTGCAAGCAGGAACCTTCGTTCTACCAGTTCCATTTCTACTGGCTTCCTCCTCGTGGACATGGACCCTGGGCGACACTTCAAGGTCAATTCCTTAGGTCGGTCTCCAGCAAGCCGCTACCTTGCAACCACGTGGAACTTTTGGCCGTGAGCTAGAGCCGCGCCCGCGAGGCCTTCCAGCTATCTGGAGTGGGCGGGGCCAGGGCCTTTCAAAGTTCCCGCGTGACTCTCTAGCCCCTCCCAGTCCCGCGAGAAGCAGCGGCGGGGGCCGCTGCGGGGCCGCTCTCCGTGAGATTGCAGCCGGCGGGGTCGGGCGTCTGTGCCCTCCAGACCGCCAGGGGGCGTGCGTTGAGCGCTCCGCGACCTTATTCCCCCGCTCCCGGCGCCCGGTCGGCTCCGCCCCCCCCACCCCACCTCCCCCCCCCCCCGCGACGTGCGCTTGCGCAGTGCGTCCTGGAGGGCTCCAGAGCCGCTGCTGACCCACGTGTGGCGTGAAGCCCCGAGCATCATGTTGTGAGGAGATGGGGGCCTGGGTCACGCGCGCCCTGAGGAATTTCAACGTGGAGAACCGGGCCGAACGCGAACTCAGCAAGATGAAGCCCCTGTCGGCGCCCCGGCACCCCTCCACCAAGAGCCTCCTGCAGGAGCAGATGAGCCGTGCGTGGGGCGCGGGGGCGTGGGGGGGCGGCGGTGCCTGTGCGCCTGGGGCCGGGGACGCGGGTGGGAGCGCGGGCAGGTGCAGCCCACGGGCCGGTGACATTGAGACTGTCCCCTGGCGGCCGCGGTGCATTCGGCGGCTCCACCTACTTCCTAAGTCCCAAAGGTGCTGCGGGGCCTGTGCCCTGGCGCCCTGGGCCGGATTTTTTTTCTCGTGGAGGCTGAGAGCCGGTGCAGGGGGTGGAAAGTCAGGAGTTTTGTGCAGCGGGGAGTTTTCTCTGGGCTTCAGAGCAGGCACCAGCGTCCAGGCTGACCTTAGTACTTTGGATGTTTAAAAAGAGTTCCGGGGGCTGGAGCGATTGCACTGGGGCGCTTGCCTTGCATGCGGCCGACCCTGGCTCGAACCCCGGTACCCTGTATGATCCCCACCCCCGAGCACCACCAGGGGTAATTCGAAAGTGCAGAGCTAGGCATAACCCCTGAGCATCGTCGGGTGTGAGCCAAAAACTTTAAAAAAAAGTTCCCGGCGGCCTTAAAACAGAAAAGTCAACGGTTTTCACACCTCAAGAGGAGATTTTCCTTGTTTTTTTTAAAAGATATTATGACATTGTTTCTGCTTTTTCTTAGGCCATCCAGAGATTGAGGGAGAAATCGCTCGGAAAGATGACAAGCTGTTGTCACTGCTAAGAGATGTTTATGTGAATTCCAAAGATCCAGTGTCTTTGAAGGTAATATGTGCGTGTGTGTGTTTAAATTGTGAATAAATAATTTCCATCTTTGGGGGCCCTAGGATCAAGAGATGTGAGTCGAGCGGTCCCAGAGGGAGGTAGGTTCTCTGTAACTCTGAAAATGTCAGTGTAGCTGGGACGGCAGTGGGTTTGTAAAGCTCAGCGCCCTCCTTTTAAAGCAAGGCATACATACTTTGATTCATGGAGTAGTCATTGAAAATCTGAAAGACGGAGTGTTAACTGGGTGCAACCGGGTGCTTCCTTTAGTAGTACATAAAAATTTGGAGAATTCAGTAATGTTCTCTTGTGGTTAGACTGTATTATCATCTTGCAGATGAAAATTGGGGTTTGTTCATCTCATGGATATCTTTAATGCGTTGATGATGATGTGTTGCCTGATATGTGTGTTGTTCTTGAGACTTTTTAAGGCTTTATATTCAGGAAGGATGTGAAAATGGAACATAGAATATTTTTCAGATAGGAACCAATGAGTAAATATGTACATAGTGGTGAGCTAAACAGGTCTAATCCGTTCCAGTGCTGATGTTGTGAGGAACACAAACATTAAACTGATGAGCCATAAATACAGAATTGCTTATACATCTATGAAGAAATATAGGCACTGGGATTTATTAGAGCAGCATTTCTTTATAGGGGACCCTAGGGACCACCTGTGGGTTCCTAGGATGTTCCAAGTGAACCACATGTGAAAATTCATAAATGGGGTTGGGACAAGCACAGGAAGGAAACAAGGTCAAAAGAGCGTTGGAAAAGGTCAAGAGGGTCAAAAAGGTTGGAACAAAGTTCGAGCTACACTGTAGAGGGACCTTTTTGAGAGTGGAGATTCAAGAATGGTTTCTGGGAAAATAGCATTTAATCTCCAAAGTCTGAAGAGTGGGTTTGGGTGATGATTAGAAGTTTCAAAGAAGGAAGTGTGAGTAAAGAAGAAGGAAGTAGCAGTGACAATTTCCAGATTTTTTTTTCCATTCTAAAATTCTCTGGTACATTCTTTGTTTTTCTGGATACAGTGGATGTAATGGTTTGCACAAATACTCTGAGTATTTACTAGAGACGATACTGATAGATAAAATGTAAAATCTATGTTATTTGTATGTAATAAAGTTATAGGACTTGAAAGGTGAAAGATTGATGTTCATATCAAGTTGTTTTTAGACTGGTATAGAGTACTTTTTTTTTTCCTTTCTGCTTTTGGGGCCACACCTGCAGTTCTTAGGTCTTCCTCCTGACTCTGCTCTCAGAGATCATATAGGGTACCTCGGGTCAGCTGTGTGCAAGGCAAATGCCCTACCCACTGTACCATCTCTCTGGCTGAATAGTACTTCTAAATATTGTTTCTCAATTTCCTAAATCATGTATTTGAAAATTGGCATTTGGGAAACAAACCTCTTAAAGCTTTTTTCTATATAAAACAGATATAACATATCTCAAAATTTCATGGAAACTGTATTAGGAAAAGTATTATTGGAGAAGTACCTGTTCGTATTCTTTTTCCTTTTCTCTTCTGGGCAATTCACAGTTAATGACCATGATCTTAGATACAATATGCTTATTATGTAGAAAATTTTTACCTGATTTTTAAAGTTATTTACGGGTATTTATAATATGAAAAATCTTAACCCTTTTCCCATTCGAGGTATAGGAAATCTGGGTTCTTTTTTTGTTGTTTTTTTGAGGGTACTTTGAGACTTATATGGAGCCAGGGATTTGAATCAGGGTTGGCGGTAGGCAAGACAAGTATATCTATATGGCCCCTGGACTCTTAAGTTTAATAGAACTCTTAAGTTTAGAAATATCGCACTTGTTAATACTTCTGGAGGGATAGCACAGTGGTAGGGCGTTTACCTTGTGATCGGCCAGCCTGGCTTCGGCAGGTTCGATTCTCCCGCCCCTCTCGGAGAGCCCGGCAAGCTACCGAGAGTATCTCGCCTGCACAGTAAAGCCTGACATGCTCCCCGTGGTGTATTCAATATGCCAAACACAGTAACAAGTCTCACAATGGAGACGTTACTGGGCCCGCTCTAGCAAATTGATGAACAACGGGAGGACAGTGCTACAGTGCAGTTAATACTTCTAATGTTTCCCATGTACACATTATTTTGCATTAAATACTGTTTGGAGACTTCCTTGATAATCAGTTGTCTCAATACAGTGTGCTCAGTCCATTTCTACACACTTAAAATACTAGTGCTTGTGTGTGATTTCACAAAGTAAAATGCGAGGGTTGCTGCTGCTGCTGCTGCTGCTGCTGCTGCTGCTGCTGCTGCTGCTGCTGCTGCTGCTGTGACACTTGTGTGTTTGGTGATGCAGAGCCTCCTTCCCACCTCCTCAGACCTCCCCAACAGAGAGACGGGGAGGCGAGGGACCACATCCTGATGGTGAAAATGGCCCATTTAATGTAAAGCTGCTAGAATGCTTATAGAATGTCTGAAGGGACTTGAGGTAAGGACATAGGCGTGATGGTCATTTACGTAGATAAACATTTGGTGTAGGAAGTTGAAGTTCTCTTGGGGAGATTAACTCAAGGAGACACTCTGCCTCCCAAGGACACTACATTGCTTTTATTATTTCCTCTAGTTGTAGAAGTTATCAGTACTCACAGCTGTTTGGATAAACACAGTAAGAGACAATGATCCCAACACTTAGTTCTCTGGGCTCTGAGAGCAAGGAGGCTTTTACCATAAATCCCAGACTAAGTCCTCATTCAGCTCGTCCTTCCCCGGGTGTGTCCTGTCTCTTAATTCATAACAGCTTGCATCAAGATCATGCATTTATGCTTTCTAGAATGTCCCGTTTCCATGCCGGATAGCTTTACCACTCGCTCCGGGTCCATCCCAGTCCCACGGCGTGACCTTCCTTTTGGAGTGTTGAAAACTGCAGCAACTGAAGACTGAGTCCAGTAATTATGACCAAGTAATTATGCCCAGGAGTAGATATATTTCAGTCAATCAACTCCCCAATACTAGGAGCATAACATTCATCGTCTTCTGTGTCTAACCAAAGAACATTGCTCTATAGTAAAATATACAAAGGCTATAGGGGAAATAGAAAAGCAGGTACAAATATACAGCACTTCAAATACAAAGCGGTACAAATACAAAGTTCAGAATTACCAGAAAGTTTTGACTTATAAGTAATCAAGAGACTGCCTTGGGGAACTATAACAATGAGAGGTAAATACGAAGAAAAGGTTAAAGATAAACTTGAACTAAATTCGGGATGCTAGCAAGGACACAAGATTCTTTGGGAGGAAAAAAAGGGGGCAATTCACAGATGAAGCCTAAAACTCTTAAGGTTGATATCCAACACAAAGGAAAGGTGGAAGATAGACTTTAACCAAATTTGAGATGTTAGCAAGGGCATGGTACGCTTCCCTGGGAAGAGGAAAGGGGCAATTCACCTGCGAAGCTTGTTGATATCCAACACTTGTGTATATGTGTCTCTTTGTGGATTCACCCATTTTTTTCTTATTTTTATATAGAATCATTCTGTATTAATGCAGCTTTGCGTTGTGTCTTGATACGGTTATCTTTCCTTTTTGGGGAAAAGGGGTGTGTTGGGCCACACCAAGCTGCGCTTAGAATTTATACCTGGCCGTTTTCTTAGGGCCCACCCCATGCCTGGTTATGTGCTCTGGGATTATTCCTGGCGGTGATTGAGGGACTTTAAGTGATGCTGGAGATTGATTGAACCTGGATTGTATGCTTGCAAGGGAAGCACTATACTTCCTGTACTCATTCTCTGGCCCTGTTGTTATCTTGAAAAAAAAAATTTTTTTTGGCTTTCCTCACAAATTTATTTTGTAGATAAACTTAAGAATGGTATTGTCAGAAACTAGGGAGAGTGAGCAAAGACTGGAGTAGCGATGCCTTGTATTGTTAGGCCCTGAATTCGATCCCAGCATGACAGGACTCCACTGAGTGCTGCTGGAGATGGCTCTGGTTGTAAAAATTATGCACGCTGAAGGTTGTGTGTTCGCGGGCTCTCTGGACAGCTCTGTCTCGCCGCCCGCTTTCGGTGCTCTTGAGCCGCTGGATGTGTGTAGCCTGGATCGGGATGGCTGTTGGCCAAGGGTGGACGAAGGAAGAGACGAGAGCCAGGCTGGCTGGTTTTAGCTGCAGTTTATTCCAGTCCTCTCTTCATTCACTCCTGCCTCTCCTCTGCCTCTCCTGTATTCTTTAAGGGCCGGCAGGAGGACCCTGATGGCTCTTGCCCTCACCACCAGCGTTTGGTGTGGGCCTGGGGCCGCTCCCGCAGCCAGGGCGGCCCGGGCCCTGGGGCAGGCGGTGGACAAAACGAGGGCCAAGCCGGTTGATTGAACAGATGTTGTTTATTCCATTCTTTCATGCGCCTACCCCAGTCCCTCTGAGCCTACCATTCTAGTCTCCACTACTCCTCATTCCCGTCTCCTCCTGTCTCAATAAAATTCCAAAATTCTCTAGTTTTTCAATTTTCAGCTGAGGCTCTCTCACCTAGAGAGAACAGATGTCCAGGAGGGAAATATCACAGAGAGTCACATTACAAAAGCGTGTCTTCTTGTGTCCATACAAAAAGGGCATTGCTCTGAGTAAACTATGCAAAGAACTTAGAGAGAAGAGAAAAACAATATTTACAAGTCGACAGAGCACAAGGAAAGAAGTTACAAATAAACACAGGAATGGGAGCACTGTGATGGGAGCAACCCAATAAACCTAAACTACCTGCGGTTATGCAGGAAGGACAAAAACAGTGTTATCCTACATCTGGTGACCCACAACACCACTGAACTCAGTACTGTTTTTAATTAGAGGCTGTTAATTTTATACAAATGTTAGTGTAAAATGATCAGAAGGGAAATCTGAATCAAAGTTTATATGGAGTGAAAGGAATTTTATGAAGAGATTTGGAAAGGGTAGTTAAGGCCAAAGTTAGAAAATAAAGGTAGGAGAGTGTGTGATGCCTTTGCATAAAGATTAAGTAAGTGTAGTATCGGGTTAAGGGAAGGTAAGGGGTGAGATTATATGAAGGTTCTTTATTTGTCTTGGTTTTTATTCTAAAGATTAAAGGGAGTAAGCCCTTGAAAAGTTTCATATAACAAAGTAAGATCCTATTTAGTTGATAATGAGTGAAGTTTATTTGGATGGGCCATGCTCTCTACTTCACAGTGTTCAAAGGACTGTATGGTAAGAGTTTTAAGGGTGTGCTGCCTTGGGAACAAAGTGCATTTTAATCCTGATAGAGACTAGTTAGGAAGCCAGTTCCTTGAAAACATTTGACTCTGAGGTGATTAGGTAAGGACAATAGTGAATGGGTTTGAGTGGGAAAGATGTTAATCACCATGATTTGATTATCAGTTGTCTATAATGGGAGAGAAAATCCCAAGTATTACCTCTGTTTTTGTTGTGAGACACAGGAAGTGTATAGTGTTGGCTACTCCAAGATCTAGTATACAGGGGAAGGACAAAGTGGGACTAGAACTGGGTTTTGGGCAGAGATGGGGAGAGCATTGGGAGGTGGAGGATAAGTTCAGTCTTAGACATGTTGATTTTGAAGCACTAATAGATTTTTCTCCATGTAAAGGTGTCCACATGCACATTTGGGTTTGTAAGTAGGTGAGGTTTAGTTTTGAGATCAGACTTGAAAGTCATTTACTTGAATTCATCACTGATGATCAGGGAAATGCAAATTAAGATCACTGTGAGAAGAACACCTGACACCTGTGAGGATGGCTTACTTCAAAGCAGCAAGTAACAAAGGTTGAAGATGTGAGCAAAAATGGAACTATTCACTGCACATTGGTGGGAATGGAAGCTGGTGTCACGTTGATGGGAATGGAAAGCACTCAAGATAAAGGCGAACAACGAAATGACCCAGTAATTTCACTTTGGGTGTTTATCTGAAAAATTAAAGTTAACATAAAACTTAGATTTTATCCCAGTATTTATTGCAGCAATATTTACAGCAGCCAGTATATGGACGCAATAGAAAATGTTAGATGATAGATGTTTGGATAAACATGTTGACATTGGGTAAATTTATACAATTGAATATTTTTTAGCTACAAAAAAAAATCCTAGAGGAGGGACGAAGGAGTGCAGTGTATGGAGCACATGCTTTGCATGCAGGAGACGTGGGGTTCCACTCCTGGCACTGTGCTTCCCTGAGCATCACCAGCAGTGACCTGCATCTCTGGATTGGGAGTAGGCCCAATCCTCCTTGGCTTTGACCCCAAAATGGAAACAATTTAAGAAAAAAATTGCTTAAAAAAATTTTTTGGTCATTTATTGAAAAAATGAAAGGAGCCTAAAGGCATGCGAAGGAAATGGGGGGGGGGGGGTAACAATTGAATTGTTTCACCTCTGTGTACAATATAAACTTTTTTTTTTTAATTATGGACGAACAGTATCTCGCCCGCACGGCGGAGCCTGGCAAGCTACCCGTGACGTATTCGATATGCCAAACACAGTAACAACAAATCTCATGTTGGAGACGTTACTGGGCCTGCTGGAGCAAATCGGTGAAAACGGGAGGACCGTGATACTGTGATGGACAGCAAAGTAAGACAAACCACTGTAGCACTCTCATACTGTTGTCCCATTGTTCATCGATTTGCTCGATGAGGCTCCAGTAACATCTCCATTGTGAGACTTGTTACTGATTTTGGCATATCGAATACGCCACGGGGAGCTTTCCAGGCTCTCCCAGAGGGACGGCCGAGTGCAAGGCAAAAGCTCTCCCCGTTGTGCTAAGGAACAATAGTAGAACTAAAGTTCCTGAGAAGAGGGTGGGGGCTGGGGGGTTGAGGGAGATGTGAAGATAATAGAGTCATCTGCACAGAAGTTCAGAAAGTGTGTGGGATTACTTAATGAGGTGGAAACCTGGACATGCCAAACTTAAGGGTCAGCTGAGCAAAGGAAATGAAGAACTTGCTGGAGAAATAAGGAAACTACTAGAGGAAACTTGGGGGACAAGTTAGTTCTGGTTAGGTTGGAAGTGTCAGTATCAAATACTATAATGAGTTCAAATAAAGCCTAAAGTGTATCGTGGATTAGGCAGTTTGTAGAGACAACATTTTTTGATTTTGACTGAAAAGGTAACATTTAAAGGGGGAAGAAAAAAAGAATGATTGACTTAGTTCAGCAACAGGAATAAAGTTAAGAGCACACAAGCACTTCGGGACCTGTGCAGTACCTCATTACCAGCATCTGGTTAGCCAAATTTCAGGACCTTTTCTCCTCAGCATTACTTGGGGTGTGGGATTGGGTAATATGTATCCTCCAACAATAATACAATAATGCAAAAATTGGGGGGGGACTGGAGATGGTTATGTATAGATTGCTTTATTTTTATTGAAGTATTGGAGGCACTGATGTATTTTCTCTGAAGAAACAAGATCTCTATCAATATTTGAACTTGTTAAAGGTATTGGGAAGCATTGAATATGAAAAAGAATCATGAAACAGAATGGTAATTATCAAGTAAGCTATTTAGACAGCAGAATTATTGTTTTTTTTAAAAAGTGGTGTTTAATCAGTTCATTGTTGCACATCTTTTGCTATAAAGTAAATCATGAGTATGGGTAATCTACATTACTTGATGACTGAACTATAGTTAGGAAGTGGCAGTGTGACCATACTGTCATCACACCTGGTCTTAGTACACTGAGAAATACAGTTTGGAAAAGCAAGCATATTATTTGAAGAACAAAATCTGAAACATGAGAAGCATAAAAGTAGATAGCATTTTTTCTCTTTTAGAAAAAATTCTCTCTTAATTTTGGTTTATTTTATTTTGATACTAGGTGAAAGATGCTGGAGTACTTCAGGAGTCAAAGGAGTTCAGATTGCCAATAGGCCATCACTTTGAAATGATGAATATCAAGAGCATTCCCAAAGGCAAAATTTCAATTGTAGAAGCATTGACACTTCTTAATAATCACAAACTTTATCCAGAAACGTGGACAGCTAAAAAAATAGCAGAAGAATACCAACTAGAACTGAAGGATGTAAATTCCCTGCTCAAATACTTTGTTACTTATGAAGTTAAAGTTTTCCCTGCTAAAGACAAGAAAGCATTACAACCAAAATGAAGACATTTATAAAATTGATCTTCCTGTGTACTTTTTAGCCCTTTACCCTATTTTCTTGGTTTTGGGATATATTAATTACAGAATGTATAATGCTCCCTTCTTGTAAAAGTACTATTTATTAAGTTTGTTGATTTTTCAGGAATGCTAACAATTTTGTTTTGAGCTCTCAATTAGAAATTTATTCATAATGTATCAGCATGTCTAAGTATAGATTTATTATAAATAAAGGAGATAATGTGTTACTTTAGGGAACACATGTCAAAGTTTAATCTTCCAATTTAGCTCATAATTCCTTATTTATTTAGAACTGTGAAAGCAAGTTTCCTGACTGTAGTCTGAAACTTTCTTTTTTGAGGGGTCAGGGGAAGGGGAGATTGAACAATGAGGAAAGCTAAGTGTTTTGTTTTTCAAATAACTGCCGTTAGAATGGATTCTAAATTAATAGGAAATACATTTTTGTTATTCCAGTATATAGCAATTAGGATATTTCTTTTGAATTGACATTATATGTGGATGACAGCCTTAAAAATGATTAAAAAATTAATATTGTCTGACCTTAATGCATAACTACTTTTGAAAAAGTGGTATGAAAAGCCTTCAGAGGCAGGCAGTGAAATCTTTGTCTGGGAAAAGATAGCCTTTTCTGGACTTGGTACAAAAGTGAAAGAAAGTTTAAGGAATTTAAATGAAAGAACCGTGTGAAAAGACTTGATTAAGTATATAGTTTTACATTTAAATGGTGGTTGAAAGAAAAGGAAAAAAAGCAGATACAGAAAAAATCTATATTCTGTGGCGAAGGAACCTGAGAAATTGCTGGAGCATTCATAAACAAATTTAATGCAGACTGGAGAGGTGGGCCTGAGCTCATTGGGCCGGAACATACAGAGTACAGATAGGAGCTCTCAGTAAAGAACTTGGAGCAAACCCTAAACTGAGCAAATGCAACCCCCCACCCCCACCCTCTAACCAGAGTACAGTATATACCAGTACCGGGATTTCAATGAGACTGTAAGTTTAGTTCTGCCATATTACCACTTGGGGAATCTTAGGTAGATTGCATAACCTCATAGGAATTTCCACTATAAAATGGGTGTAATGCTGCAGTAAATTTAGGGTAACTATGAAGATATTAAAGGCCTACAAATAAGTCGTTTTCTGCAGTTGAGCCCATAGGTCAGAGGAAGATTCATGGCTCATTTTAAGGTTACTTTGTATTTATAATAGCAGGGTCCAACGTAAGGATTTTGAAAAACTGTTAAGTATTTTTCTGCAATGATTAAAAGAAGTGTGTTGCAATAGTGCAAGAAGGCATGTGTTGTAGGAATTTGGGATGACATCCTAAGAAAATATTAGGTTATTAATGTCTTTCTGAGGAAAGATAGCATCACAGTCTAACAGAGGGAGATGCTAAGGGGTTCATCAAGATATAAAGTTGTGAAAAGAAAAACTGAGGTGGGAAAAATTTAACTTGCCAAATAGAGTTTCATTATGTGAATAAATAAATAGACCTAGTTTATACTAAGGTCAAAACAATAGTCCTTTTAAGAAAACTTACTGTAAAACTACACTTTTTTTTTCCCAGACTTACACATTTTTGTGCTTGGATTTCAATTATACAATGAACAAACACCCATCCCTCCACCAGTGCGCATTTCCCACCACCACGGATCCCAGTATCCCTCCCAGCCCCCAGCCCCCATCCCACTCTGCCTCTGTGGCAGGGCATTTCCCTCTCTCTCCTTTTGAGTGCTGTGGTTTGCAAAAGAGGCATTGATTGGCAATCATGTTTGGTCAATAGTCTACCTTCAGCATGCTTCTCCCATCCTGGGAGGATCCTCCCAACACCCTTTGTTTGGTGTTCCCTTCTCTTTCTGAGCTCCCTTTTCCCCTAACATGTGTGGTTGGCCTCCAGGTCATTGAGTAAAATTCCTGGTACTAATCTCGGCCATTCTTGGGTGTTAGTTTCCTATTTTGTTACTTTATGTTCCCCAGATGAATGCAATCTTTCTATGTCTATCTGTCCCTTTCTGAGTCATTTCGCTTAACATGATACTTTCCATGTAGTACCACTTGTATGTAAATTTCATGATTTCGTCTTTTCTAACAGCTACATAGTACCCCATTGTGTAAATGTACCAGAGTTTCTTTAACCAGTCATCTGTGCTCGGGCACTCAGGTTTTTTCCAGATTCTGGCTATTGTAAAGAGTGCTGCAATAAACAGACAATTGCAGATGTCACTTCGGCTATACTTTTTTGCCTCTGGGATATATTCCCAGGAGTGGTATTGCTGGGTCAAATGGGAGCTCAATTTTTAATTTTTTGAGAATCATCCATACTGTAAAACTACACTTTAAAACTAACATAGTCATCAAAACTTTGGCCTTTATGATATAAAGGTCATAAGACTGCTGTTTCTGAGCCATTTTCCTTATAAAAGTGCACTGTGGTTAGGCAGCTGAAATTATGACTTTCATGATGTCATAATAAAATAAAGTACTTCCTATATCACCATTTATTACATGTAGAGCACTTGGCAGAAGTGTTGCCATAGAAAGTGTGGAATTTAGACTTCAGAAAACCTGGATTTATATCAGCAGCATCACTACTGATTTTGGAAATGTCTGCAACTGAAGTATCTAAGAATTGCATTTTAAAAACAGTTCTTGTACTGGGCACTAATCTACATAAAGCAACTTGCATAATATTTCAACAGGTATGGGGATAAGTGCAGTTAATCATATTTTACAGGAAAAATTGAAGCACAGGTCTCCAGTAACTTCACAGATTACTTACAATGTGTTGGAGCCTGGATTTAAGCCTTGGAACCTTATTGTTCCTATCACCTAAGCCATATTACCTCTTGGGTTATCAGAATTAGATAATAGGTAACATGGCAGGTCTAGTCAATGTTGTATGTAGAACGTCACAATGAGAATCACTTGGAGGCCCTGGCAAAAGATGTATATGAGAAAGAGTTGCTTTGTAATTTGAGTTACTTTTGTTAATGAGCTCTAGATAAGGAAAAATAATAAGTGAATATTTAATGTTATAAATCAGTATGTGCATGGGGTCGAAGATAGAAGACAGAAGAGACCAGTATTACAATAATAGCTGGGAATAATCACGCTGGACAAGATCTGAGGGTTAAAAGTAGGTAAGGTATAGTCTTATAACATTTCAGTATCAATGTTGCAAGCCGCAGTGCCAAAAAGGAGAGAAAAGAAAAGTGCCTGCCATCAAAGCAAGTGGGAGGTGATGGGAGGAAATCTGGGAACACGAACTGAGACATGTACATACTTATGGAGGAATGGATGTTGGAATACTGTATGACTGAAATCCAGTCATGAACAGCTTTGTAAGTCTATATCAGTGATTCAATAAAGTTTAAAAAAATACTTAGTAAAATATTTAACAACCAAGTGTAGCACCAGACTGTTCAAACTTATTCATCTATGCAGACTGAAGATGAACATTGGTATAAGTTCACTGGGAATGAAATAAAGGCGCAGGATGAGATGAAAGGATGAGTTTGAAAGAGAGAAGCTTCCCTGGGAAGGAGGAAAGAATGCCTCAAAATTGAGTGGGGGGAAAAAAGCCTTCACTTAAGGATAATAAAGAGAAAGGTTAAAAAGGTGGGCAGGAAAACTGGCTTATTGGAAGCCCATACAGGAAAATCACTGAAGTGGATGGATTTGACAGTTCTGCCAAAAATGAGTTCACCATATAATTCTGTTACCCAAATTAGTACATTTGAGTGAGAAAGGGACAACAATTAAGGGAATAGAGGCAATAAGCATGTACTGGAATATTCTGGACAAAGTTGGGAGCATCATCCTAACCACAGGTTAGATCCTACCTGTCTTGAAAGTCACCGGAGATGTAACTCTACTTGCTCTACTTTGTCAACCTTTAGTATCTCACCAATAACCAGGAATTATTGTCTGTGCCAGAGAGGTATTTGTTGGGATGGAATGATAGTTTAGGTGCCTTAAACTGCATGTTGTGAGCCCCAATTCTATCTGGGTCCCCTAAGTACCACAAGGCATAACATTTGAACACATACTCAAGTAGCTCCAAGCACCACCTGGTGTGATCCCAGAACAAAATCAAACATATGCATGGTGTGCACTAATAGGCAATACAAAAACTGCTCCCTCTGAGGAAAAATTCAACAGGAAAGCCATCTTAAAATGCTGTGGGGGGAGGCAGGAAAAATTTACTCCAAGTTGGATGAACCAGTACTTGAAAGTTAAATAATCTCTGAGGAAAGGAAATAGATAACTGTAGGATAACCTCTTAGTAAACACTTGGAGTAAATACTTGCAGAGAATATTCAACTTTTATTAATTCTGCTTATCTCACGGCTCCTTAGGCCACTATAGAATCACTATTCAGTAATTTCTATATCAACTTTTCTGTAGTGGTGCTTATCACTGACGCTGTCGATCAAAATAGGGAGCTTAGAGGGGCCCTTGTAGGGGCCAGAGACCTCATGGACTGAGCACACACTTTGCATGCAGGAGATCTGTGTTCCATGATCAGCATCTCATGTTCCCCCAAGCACTGCTTGGATGCAACTTAGATCACAGAGCCTGGAATAGCCCCAGCAACTACCAGGCATGAGTCAAAAGCCAGAAACAAAAAGTGTCTTATAAAAGGAAAGAAAGAAAGAGAAAGTAATTTGTATCTTAGAAATATCCTAGAAACACTGTCAACATTCCCAAAGAAAATGAGCACCTTTTCTCTCCTCTTAGGTTATTTGGTTAAATCTCTTTCATTTTGTTGCTAACTCCGATGCTTCTGGAGGAATACTAAAAGGTAAGACAAATGATTTTTAAAGAATCAGATTTAAGAGATTCATAGGTCTCAATATCCTGTAATGAGACCTTTAAATATTTAGGTTGTCATACTATTTTTCAGGAGACCTACTTTTAGGTCACATAAATGTGTGACCCACTTGTTAAGGCAGATCAAAGATTGCTAGCATGATCTTTTTTGAATTTTTTGTTCAAGGAATTAAATGAATACTAGGATATGCTTAATTTCTTAAATGACTTTTCAAATCATTTGATTTAAAAATATTGCTGAATTTTCGTTTTTCTCTCACTGCAAAAAATATGATTCATCTACTATGTGCCAGGCATTACTCATATAGCTTGGAATACAGCAAAGATGATTATAATGTAAGTTCTTAATAGAGTTTCTGGCTTTACAATTTTGATGGTTTTAGTTCATTTTTGCTCCCTAAGAAACCACCTCAAAACCTCATTGCTTAAAAACAATTTGTTAAATTTTTCCTTTTATTGTTCCCCTCCTCCCAACACATACTACACACACATACGCACACACACACACACACACACACACACACACACACACACTCACACACACACACATACTTGAAGCACTGGATGTTTTTTCCTTTGGAATCTGATGAAGTTGTTTGTTTCCAAGGCTCGACAGGGTTGCACATCCAAGATGCTGCACTTTTAAGTAGGAATTTTTCTTTTGCAGGAAGGGGGGAAAAAGGTTGTACCACACCTAGCATTGCTC